CTGGGACCACCTACCACACCGCTTCCCTGTGCAGGGTGTCACCACCTCCTGTGCACCACACTCGGAGGCTGGGAGAAGACGCCCATCACCCCAAAGGGGAGGCTGGAGCCTCTCAGCCTCCAGGGCTGAGTCAGGATTGTGGTCCTCGGACCTGATCTTGGCTGTTGTGTGTGGACAGAGAATGTCCCTGCCATGTTCCCAGGTGGCCCTAGTGGTAAAGAACCTGCCTGCCAATGCAGAAGACATAAGAGACGAGGGTTTGATCTCTGGGTTGGGAGGATCCCCTGGAGGAGGGCATGGCAACCCACTCCAGCATTTTTGTCTGGAGAATCCCAGGCACAGAGGAGGCTGGCGGGGTACAGTCCATAGGGGTGCAAACAGTCAGACATGACTGAAATGACTTAGCACGCATGCACACCATGTCATTAAACAAAGGATATTGAGGCCACCAAGCCTTCAGCCACTGCAGCTGCACCTGCGTTGCACCCTGAGGGGATTTACTATGAAGAAGAAAAAATGATCCTGGCCCTAGATAGCTGAGATGCATATTAAAGGCATGATTATAAGGAGCCCAAACGCTGGCATCTGCCCATACATAGGCGCTAAATTCATTAACTTAAGATGTCTGGTTTTCTTTACTTAGCAATAATCTTTTGCTGTTCCAACTACCTGGTTTTTTGTTTTGTTTGCAAAAACTCTTATATATACTGGCTCCTCCTGTGACCTGAAAACTGGGTTCGCCTCTCAGTGAGTGTCAAACCAAAAGACACAACCAAGCTGGCAAAGATGATGAAAAGAAAGAATTATCACTCACAGCAAGTAAGGAAAACAAAAGGGATCTTTCCCAAAGCACTGTCTCCCCACTAGCAAAACTGGGGAAGTTTTAAGCTAAGGGCACCACCAGAGGGGTTTGAGCAGAGAATTCAACATAGAACTGGAGAAAAGATCAGGTTGACAGAGTCCAAGTCTTTGTTGTCTTAAGTCAGGAGGGTCAACATCATCAGCCCACCCTCCACCTGGGTGGGAGCCTTAGTTCCTGCAGAATTCAAAGTGTATTATTATGTTTATCCCTTGAGAAGAACTAGGACTCTGCTTTGTCCCTGCATTCCTCTGTCCCTTTAAGATCACTGATTACTGACTGAGACCTGTTCAAGGGCAAGCACCATGACCAGGTTTAGATCACAAAATGATTTAGACCAAAATGGGTTGTCTTATGTCAAGAATGTCTCTTATGCTGTGAAAGTGCTGCACTCAATATGCCAACAAATTTGGAAAACTCAGTAGTGGCCACAGGACATGAAAAGGTCAGTTTTTATTCCAATCCCAAAGAAAGGCAATGCTAAAGAAGGTTTAAACTACCGCACAATTGCACTCATTTTACATGCTAGCAAGGTCATGCTCAAAATCCTCCAAGCTGGGCTTCAACATTATGTGAACTGAGAACTTCCAGATGTACAAGTTGGATTTAGAAAAGGCAGAGGAACCAGAGATCTAATTGTCAACATCCATTGGATCTTAGAAAAAGCAAGAAAGTTCCAGAAAAACATCTACTTCTGCTTTATTGACTACACCAAAACCTTTGACTGTGTAGGTCACAACAAACTGTGGAAAATTCTTCAAGAGATGGAAATACCAGACCACCTTACTTGCCTCCTGAGAAATCTTTATGAAGGTCAAGAAGCAACAGTTAGAACCAGACAGGGAACAACAGACTGGTTCCAAATTGGGAAAGGAGTATGTCAAGGCTATATATTGTCATTTAGCTTATTTAACTTATACACACAGTACATCAGGCGAAATGCAGAGCTGAATGAAGCACAAGCTGGAATCAAGACTGTCAGGAGAAATATCAATAACCTCAGATATGCAGACGACACCACTCTTATGACAGAAAGAGGAACTAAAGGGCCTCTTGATGAAAGTGAGAGTGAAAAATCTAGCTTAAAACTCAACATTCAGAAAATGAAGATCACGGCATCTGATCCCACCACTTATGGCAAATAGATGCGGAAACAATGGAAACAGTGAGAGACTTCATATTCTTGGGCTCCAAAATCACTGTAGATTTGACTGCAGCCATGAAATTAAAAGATGCTTACTACATGGAAGAAAAACCATGACAAACCTAGACAGCATATTAAAAAGCAGAGACATTACTTTACTGACAAAGGTCTTTATAGTCAAAGCTATGGTTTTTTCAGTAGTCATGTATGGATGTGAGCTGGACCATAAAGAAAGCTGAGCACTGAAGAATTGATGCTTTTGAACTGTGGTGTTAGAGAAGACTCTTGAGAGTTCCTTGGACTGCAAGGAGATCAGATTATTCAATCGTAAAGGAAATGAGTCCTGAATGTTCACTGGAAGGACTGATGCTGAAACTGAAGCTCCAAGCCTTTGGCCACCTGGAAAAGACCCTGATGCTGGGAAAGAGTGAAGGCAGGAGGAGAAGGGGACGACAGAGGATGAGACGGTTGGATGGCATCACCGACTCAATGGACACAAGTTTGAGAAAACTTGGTTTGGTGGTGCACAGGGAAGCATGGTGTGCTGCAGGCCACAGGGTCACAAAGAGTCAGACACGGCTGTGCGACTGAACTGAACTGAACATGGTATCAGTCAAGAAAGCCATTCCTGCTTCTTTCTCTGGGGACCCCCTGCCCGATCTACTTACACCCCCTCAGCTCTGTGGAACAGGTCCCTCAGAGCTCTCTGAGAGGCCGTATCCAGGGCTGAAGTCTTCAGCAAGTCTGCTGAATAAAGCCTAATTCTCAACTTTTAGGTTGTGCATTCTTTTTAGTGGACAGCTATGATTGTCTTCCCCAAATTGCAGTACCACCACCATGCCGTATGTGACGTGCCTCCCCTGAGAACTGGGTCTGTCTCCTTTCTTGAACCAGGTGAACCTCTGTGACTGCCTCCAATAGAATATGCTCTACAAGCTGCTGCCTGGCTTCTGGGGGCATGTCATAAAAGGCAGTATGGTTTCTCTCTTCAGAACACTTGCTTTGGTGTTAAAATCAAATAAATTTGGGGATAATTTGTTACGCAGCAGCAGCTAACTAATGTAGGTGGCTCCTGTGCCCAGCCGAGATGTCAACAAAAGTCCTGCTACACCACCCTTGGCCTTCCACTCTGTGTCTGCTCCATCCCTACCCACCCCCCGGCCCCCAATCCATGCACTTAGGATAGAGGGCAGACCCCAGTTCAGATGCCCATGCCTGTATCAGCTGGGTCATACCCTTGCTTTAGAACCCAGCACCTAACCTCACTGCCCTGCAGACTGGCTTTTGCTTAGGCCAGCCAGCTCTCAGCCTTCCATGCTCGGGCCCCTCCTTACAGGGCTGCCTTGCTCACTTGAGGACTTACTGCTGCTGGCCCTGCAGGAAAGTCCAACTCAGAGCCTGGACAGGCCAGGCTCTCTCCCCTGGGGACCCTGCCCCTTCCACCTCATCCCTCAGTGGACCTCAGCCCTGGCTGTGGTGACATGTCCAGAGGAATGGCAGGTTCCAGGGAAGTACTGTATGTGAAAGAGGCACAAGACCTGAAGCCAACAGGCGGCCCACAGCCACTGCTCGTCCCTGGGGAGCCTTGGTGGTCACAGCTGCCAGGGAGGTGGCCGGCAGGGCCCGCACACCAGCCACCCACAGCTGCCGACTGCACCCGGCAGGAGCAGGGTACTCCAAAGTCCGAGTGGAGAGACTACTAGTTAACATTCCCTGAAGCTTATTTTTTTTAGTAGAAATATAGGAGGGAAAAGTCAAGTTTATGGATAGATGAGAAGGAAAGTTCTCAGCTTCAAAAGCCAATCACAACCCCAAACCAGCATGGGGCGGGAGGTCAATTAACTCCAGAGGGAGCGAGGGCTCTCAGGGCTTGGGGTCCCTGCCCTCTGCCCTCTTGCCCACAGCAAAGACGTGGCCACACATGGTCAGTCCCGTCACTCCCAAGCCCAGGGCTAGCACACAACCCAAAGAGAAGGTTCTGTTTCCTGGGCCTGAGGGTAGACCCATCCCTGCCATGTTCTGAAACCCAAACAACTGTGTGGGTGCAGACCTTTGAGACACAGACAGACACTCACGTGTGGGCTCCACGTCCAGCCCTTCCTCAGCTTCCAGCTGAGCCACTAGGACATAGGACAAGGGTGCCTGTGGGCCTCAAACGGGCTCCTTCCAACTGGCCCCCAGCACTCAGGGTTCCATCAGTCTGAATCAAATCGATTACTTATTTGGCTGTGCTGGGTCTCAGGTATGGCTTGCAGGATCTTCTCTGGAGCCTTTTTATTTCAGTTGTAGCATGTGGGATCTAGTTGTCCGATCAGGGGCTGAACTCAGACCCCCGGCACTGGAAGCTCAGTGTCAGTCACTGGACCACCAGTGTAGTCCCACTTGGAATCAATTATGACGCGCCCTGACCGTGTGTGGAAAATTAAACTAATGCATCTCCTTCCTCAGTGGGAAGGTTACCCCCTGCAGATACCTCTGTTGGGTCATTCTAGACGGTGCGTCACTTGCACAAACCCTGGTTACACAGCTTTAGCACGTGGGTGCCCACATCTGTCACGGTGAGGACTGCCCGGCCAGGCCCGGCCTTCCGACCCCAGGGGAGACTGATCTCACGGTCCCTTTGCACCCACTTCCTCCGCGAGGGTGACCCCATTTTCCAGCACCTTCAACGACTCGCCCTGGTGCTCTGGTCCTATCTGCACAGCTGGGGGCGAGGCCCCATGAGAGCTGCTCTGCGACCAAGGGGGACGAGGCTGCACGCCAGCCTGCCTGCTGCATGTACTGCGAGGAGGGCCGGAGAGGAGGCAGGGGTTCTATTACACGACACGACCCTCACAGACACGCTTGAGCTGAAGTGCAAGGGTTCACGCAGAGAATGTTTGTTGCGCTGTCGTCACAACGGCTCTGACACAGGAACTTGGACATGCTCTCGACATCCTGAGCCACTTGAGTAAGCAGATCACAATGCACACACGTCATGAAACACTTCAGGGCCACTGAAAAGAACTCAAGTAGGAATCGTATTCAGCCACGAAAAGTGGCTGTTGTCACGTTAAGTTGTCACTGTTACAACCTGGGTGGACTTTGGAAATATTACATTCAACTTAGCAACAGATAGAAAGTGGAATAAAGGACCCCAGGACCCGGGGGCGGGGGGCCAGGTAGGGACTTAATGTTGAAGCGTAGTTTCTGCCTGGGGCGATGAAACCGCATGGAGATAGATGAAAACACTGTGAAGGCACGGCTGCTAGGTACATCCAAAAGTGGATAAAACAGCAAGTTTTCTGTTATCTATTCTACAGTGAAAAAGAATCACAGTCATGAAGAACAGGGTGCATCTGTGCGAAAGAAGCAGAAATGTGGAGAACCATTTTCATACAAAGAAAACCGAGTTTCACACGTTGAGCGCGTGGGCACAGAAAATCCTAAGAGCCATGAAGCTGTGAACAGAAGTCACCCTCGGACGAGGATGGGAGCACTTCGCGGACTTTGTTCTGTTTGAATGTTGTTGCTTAGAATGACAGACAAAAGTGTTTAAAAGTGATAGAACTCTCAAGAATAGAAATAACCAAAAAAATGCCTAATGTGACCTGAAGTCTGTCAGTCAAGAGCATGTCCCTTTAGAGACCCAGCAGCAAGGCCTTCACTCTGAGTGGCCACATCCACCGCTGCAAATGACACAGTGGCCAGGCGGGGGCCCTGTGATCACTGGGTGAAGGCCATCTGCCCCCCAGCAGGCTGGGAGCCCACACCACCCTGCAGACCCCACAGACCCCGAGAGAAGCCATGTGTCACCGACACTGCGCACGAGACAGAAGCGTTGATCAGCTTCTGAAGCTGCTTGTCCTCCTAGAAAGGGGGCCGAGGCAGAGGCGGCCGGCTGTCACTGGTCTTTGAAGTTGGCCTTTCTCTTCTCCACAAATGCGGCCATCCCTTCCTTCCGGTCTTCCTGTGGGGAGGAGAAGCAGCGGTGGACGGAGGCTCTTCCCAAGGCCAGGCCTGCTCACTGCCTGCTGGCTCCTCCCACCCTCAGCCGTCCACACCCACGGGTTCTGTGGTGGGATCACCTCAAGGGTGAATGACCCAACTCCCTGACCAGCGAGGGTGGGCCCGGAAATGGGTATTTTCAGAGTAAACACCCCTGCCCTGCCGTGGTGACGGTCATTCTGTCATCCACTAACCTTCGAGTGAAATAAACCCTCATCTACAGAGAACCTCAGGTGCATGTACTCATTCACCAAATCATAACCTGATCTAGTGTGACCTGTGTCAGGTGGTGTCCTGAGGGTTAGGAAGCAGGACACAAGGAAAGGCTCCACCTCGGCCCTCCTTCCTCACACACGCACTGACACACATGCACACACACATACGTACTTGCAACACACGAACACTCACACCACATGCACGCATTCACACACAAGTGTACACATGCAATACTCACACATGCACTCATACCACACGCATGCACTCACAACACACGAATACACTCATACCACATGCATGCACTCACACATAAGTGCACACAGGCACGTACTCACACATGCACACACACCACATGCATGTACTCACACCACATGCACTCACAGCACACACATGCACTCACAACACATGAGTACTCATACCACATGCATACACTCACACATAAGTGCACACCGGCATGTACTCATGCACATATGCACACAATGCACTCATAGTACACGCATGCACTCACACACAGATGCACCCATACCACACACATGCACTCACATGTGCACATACACATGTACACACACATATCTGCACTTCCTCAAGAACCAAAGTCATTTTAATCTTTTATGAAACACCTATATATGACTTCCTGATAGTAAGAAATGAATTTTAGTGACTATTACAAGAATGACTTCCTTCAAGTTACTGGGAGATACCCTGGAAAATAATGTGCCAAGGCTTCAAATTACAGTGTTAAAATACACTTGATCCCCATTCCAAGTAACTGGAACGATCTAGGAAAGTTATGGGTAAATAGATTGCCTTTTAAATACAGGAACTGCTATTTAAGTGTGCAGTTCCTAAGATCTTTTGTAATAAGAAATAACTGTAAAAGTTTTGTACTTTTGAACTTCCACACACTGTGCTGTGTGCTATTTGCTCAGTCGTGCCTGGCTCTGTGTGACCCCGTGGACTATAGCCTGCCAGGCTCCTCTGTCCTTGAGATTCTCCAGGCAAGAATGCTGGAGTGGGTTGCCATGCCCTCCTCCAGGGGATCTTCCCGACCCAGGGATTGAAGTCAGGTCTCCCGCACTGCAGGCGGATTCTTTACGGTCTGAGCCACCAGGGAAGCCCCATTTATTTGCAAACATCAGTGCCCAGCTACAGGGAGGCTATGAGTTCTGACCAGAGAGAAACGGTGATAAAATCTACAACCAAATTCCAGAACTTCCACGGCTGTGATTCCCCAAGTGAATGAGGCTACTCACGGTGGCAAAAGTTGAGTAGAAGAGCTTCTTCTCCAGTTTAACGCCCTCTGCTAATGTCATTTCGAAAGCTGAAAAAGAAGACCCTGTGGTGAGGAGCTGAGGCAGACGTGGCAGCGCGGAACTTCTCGCAGAGGCGGGAAGCGGCCCAGGGACCGACGCGCGCTTCGATGTCGTGGGACTGAAGCGCAGCCTCCCTCGCCAGGCGTCGCCCCGGCCGCGGCCCAGTGAGCAGCTGCTCCCGGGCTCCGTGGGCCTGCGTGGGGGCCGGCGTGACCGGCGTGGAAGGCGGGATGGAAAAAGCTGTCCAGTCAAGAGGGGGCTGAGGAAGCCCAGAACGCGGACTCTAGAAGCACGACAAAGGACGACACTGAAAATGGAGCTGTGGGCAGAATGGAGCGAGGCCCAGGTACGTCTGCAGCAGAGGCGAGGGGGCGCGAGGCTCGTGGAAGCTTCCGCGGCAGCCCCGGCAGCCAGGCCCTGTGACCAGCGCCAGGTGATGACAGGCGCCCCGGGCCTCGCTGCGCACCCCCGCCCTACACGCTCCATGCACTGAAGGCTGAGCCCGGGGAGCAGAGGCAGGGTCGGGGCAGCACGGCCCTCCAGGGCCACTCCCTGCCCTCACAGGCGGGACCAGCAAAGGGGCAGCCTCGCTCCACGCTGAGACGAAATCGCCGTGTTAACACCCAAGCGGTTCTCAAGAGGGGCGGTCAGAGCTGCTCTGCTGGCCAAGAGTGGCCACCGAGCCCAGACCCACAGCTGGCAGGGCGGAACCGCCCCCGGCTCACCCCCGGACGGTCAGGAGTGGCTGCGGCAGAGGGGAACCTCCTCCTCCCAGGTTCTGCAGGGGACCCTCCTGGGCTGCCTCTGCTCGCCAGCACTGGCCCCCAGGCTGGCCCAGTTCTCAGGTCCTGCTTCCAAGGGGAGCTCAGACCAGTTCAACAGAATTTGTGAGCAAGCAACTAGAAACTAGAATGCTACGAATAGCCAAAATCGAAATACTGAGAAATCTAACAATTTTTGTCCAGATTAATTAAGATGCACAATTCAGACCCCAAATTATCAAGCCTCGCAACTACTCCTGTGCAGCCTCTCCACCCTCTTCCCTACCTGCGTTCACTGATTCTTTGGCCATTGCTGTTACAATTTTAGAGTTGCTGGCAATTTTTTCTGCACATTGGATGGCTTCTTCGACCACTGTCTCAACAGGAAAAATTTTGCTTACAAGACCTACAACACAAAAAGGTAAAAAACACGTGGAAACAGCTGGTTCTAGTTCTCTGTCACAGCATGGGCCTCCAACAGAGACACTGGAAAGGATCCACAGTGTCCCCTGGTGGGGCCGCCCCCCTTTGCTGCGGAGGTCTTGGGGCTTACAGTCAAAGGCCACTGAGGGGCTGGAAGAGGGCCTGCCTGCAGGGGGTCTTGGAAACCCCCCATTGTTCACGTTGGTTCTGAGAAGTGGGATGGTTTCACTGTTAGTCTTTAATTCAGGAGGACATTTGAGTCACTCCATTGTGCATGGTGGTATTTCAGACACAGGCAGAGAGTATCCTGGACTTGTAGGACGCTGGAAAGCTCTGTGCTGATCACTGTGGGAGTCCCTGGGTGAGGCCCTCCCCTCTCCACTCAGCTTCCCAAGGGGGCAACTCCACGGGGCGGCCCCAGCCTGTACCTGCTTGCTTGGCATCCTGGGCCGAGATCCGGTCACCAGTGAGGACCATCTCCATGGCCAGTGACTTTCCGACGGCACGGGTCAGTCTCTGGGTGCCGCCTGCACCTGCAGGGGCAGAGGGCTGCTGGGTATGCCGCTCTGTGGCCAAGAAGCCACAGACACGCTGCTGGCAAGTGTCTACGGCCTGAAGACCTACAGCACGGTTGGGGGGTGGGCAGAACTGGGGGACCCAGACACCACAAGGGAACCTCCTTCCCACACTCAGGCCCCTGCCTTGTGCCCTGGGCCCCCTGTACCAGCGCCTCTCGTGCAGAAGTCACACTGGATGGATGTGTGGAGCTTGCAGACCCTGACCTGACCCACCCTGGAGGGCAGCTGGGGGCGGCCTCCTATCACAATCGGCTCTGCTCCCGGACTGAGACGTGGGCAAGGCTCCTGCCTCTCGGGCCTGGGGACGTGCTCCTCTCTCCTGGGATCTTCAGGTGTCTAGCCCCACGTGGACTTCGCCTCCACAGGCCCTGCTCCCCTTCCCACCCACTCAACGGCCTCTGACTGGAAAGACTGGTCTGCCCATTCACCTGCCCACAGTGAACCCCAGGGCTGCCAGGGTGAGGCAAGCGGCCACCTGAGGGAGGCACCCACGGTCCAGCAGACTCGGGCACTACCGCAACGTGGTGGGGACCTTGGGCACTGGGACAGGAAGAGTCTGGCAGTCACCCCCAGCTGACCCCACGTGGCTCACTGCCTGGCCTGGCTGAGACCCTGGACTCCAGGCTCTACACCCGGGTAGAGACTCTGTGGGGACACAGCCTGTAGCTCTCGTCAGGTGGGCCGAGGGGCAGAGGCATCGCTGTTGGCCCACTGCTCCCGTCACCCTCCCCGTGGCGGATGCGATTCCCTGCTCTGAACCTGCTGAGGCCACGGGTCTCGCTCTGGTCACTGAAATGGCAGCCCTCAGCGCTGGCCCATGGTCACCATGTTTTCTTCTCTGAGCTGCTGGCCTACAAGGACCCACCATGGATGCGGCTCAGCAGCAAGAGTCACTGCGGTCGGAAGCCAGTGTGTGGCCTGCCCAGAGGAGCTGGCGGGGCTCCAGGCCCCCATGCCCCGCCCCACGCGGACGGTAGTGCAGCCAGGCTCACACACAGCCTCACTGTTTCTGTCTGACACTGAGACAGCCCAGATGCCCGGTAGAGGGCAGATCTGGGCCGATTACTTGAAGAGCTGACCCTAGAGCCTTTACCTGGGATGGTTCCTATTAGAATCTCCGGCTGCCCAAACTGGGCTTTCTCTCCAGCATAAATGATGTCACACATCATAGCAAGTTCACAGCCACCACCAAGCTGCAAAACAAGAGGCACCGCAAGAGGACCCCAGTTAAAAATCACTCTATTTGCTCATTTAAATCTTCTATTAAAAGGAACGCGGTCTGGGGTACAGTAGACATCAACACAGAGGTGGCAAGTTAGGTAACTGTTTCCATAAATTACGTACACAGTTGATTCTGCTGAGCTTTCTGGCAAGGGCCAGACAGCAAATGCTTTTGGCCTTGCATGTCCTACAGTGTCTGCTGTGGCCACTCCACTCGGCTGAGGGAGCTCAAAGGCAGCCAAGAGAGGGGAGAACTAAGAGGTCGCTGTGTTCCAATACACTCTGCCCACTGACCTGCTCACCCCAAGGAAGCTTTACTAAGGAACTGTGAGTTGAAAAGTCCTTCTCACTTCTGTACAGGCCACGGCCAGCCCCAGAACCTCTGAACCTTCCAGGTGCCTACAGGAGACCCGGACGCACCAAACGGGGCACCCAGAGCTTCCAACAGTAGCAGGAGGAGTTAATTTATAAGGCAGTGCAGGTTGGAAAGTCAGCAAAACTGCACCGAAAGCCAACACATGTGCCCTTAACCTTGCAGACGGGGAAGGCAGCTCCTGGGGAGTCTTAGGGACCACGCTGAAGACTAGGGGGCTTTACTAACAGGGGAATCCAAAGGCCAACAGCTGAACCCCCTCCCACAGAGCAGATGCTAAACGCCCTTTACAGGTCTTGGTTCTTTTGCATCACTGAGAATGAGACACAGCTTCCTCCAAATAAAAACTGGTCTTACTGCACAGATACAGTTCCTTCAGGTGCTCTGAGTGCAAGCAGGCGGTGTGGGGGGAACACTCACGGCATAGCCATTGACAGCAGCTATGATTGGCTTCTTGACACGCGTGAGTCGGTCCCAGTGGCTCAAAAACCCTCCAGAGTAACAGTCCTGGAACGTGTGGCTCTGCATTTCCTTGATGTCGGCTCCAGCTGGGTGGTGGGAAATGATGTTCCAGTTACCAGAGGTCCCACATCAACAGGCAGCTGCTGAGCGTCCCAAGGGTAAGCACTGGGCCTTTGGGGAAAGGCCACATGGACACACGGCTGGGCTGGGGGCACAGTGCAACACCGTGCGATACGAGGTGACGGAAGTAACGCAGAGGGGTGTGTACAGGACAGACCAGGAGGGGACTCAGAGAAAGCTGGGCTCACTCACTAGTCCCTCTCACCTGAGACCTGCCTGCCTGTGAGTGGGTTAATTCTGCTGGCAGAGCGTGCTCAACACTAAACACCAGAGAGGCCCCTCCAAGCAGCTCAGGGTTTGGTCTACCCTATGTAAATAAATCCCCAAGCTGCAGAACTTGCCTGATGCCTTCATGAAGGTATAAGGCTGCCTGCCATGCCACAGGTGTGATCACATACCTGGCAGCCGGCCACCATGCTGCCCAGCTCACCTGCAAATGCCTTCTCCCCGCCTGTGAGGACAATGGCCCCCACGGCTGGGTCTTCCTCGAAGGTCTGCAGCGCCTGGTTGAGCTCCGCGATCAGGCCATTGCAGAGAGCATTGAGGGCCTTGGGGCGGTTCAGCTGGATCAACCCCACGTTGCTGTTCTTTCCCTTCTTTGCTGTGATGATGTACTCAAAGGCTGTACCTGGGAAGAAAAGGCAAAGAGGGATTTCTACTAACAGAGGCACCAAACTGGGGGATGTATTCCGTCACTGGACAGGGTGACCCCGACACCTGAGGGCCCTGCTCAGTCCCTGGTGCTGCAGCTCACACCGCAGGGCTCTCTGCTTTCACAGATGTTGGAATGTTTCCTCAAGTTAAGACAGCCCCAGCAATGACCAGCGGCCTTCCTTCTGAATGTCTTGGCTGCCATCTCCCAGAACCTGTGCTGGAGATGCCTGGGATCCTGTAGAAACAAGAAATGAGGAAACTCCCTCTTTAAACAGATGCCAACTGGGTGAAGTGCACACAGGCAACGGGCAACTGCCTAGGAGGGGCAGCCTGCTCAGGGAGCCAGAATGACCTCGGGGGCGGGGGGGAAAGCTTAACCAAGGCAGCTGTTTCCTTGAACGGGGTACCTATCCGGTGGGCTTGCTGGGGAGTGACTGAAATCACCCATGTGTAGGCAGCATCCCCCAAACCCCGTATACAAGACCAAAAAAGACTGCTGGGTACAGGCCAGGATGTAGGAGCAGGTGGTCAAAAGGAACTCAGGTAACATGAACGCTAGTTAACAGCTCGGCAGGCAGCAGGGCACGTAAGGCAGCCATGGCGCTCGCGTGGACGACTGTCCCCTCCGCCCGACCGAGCGGAGGGCCCGCCCCGCGGAGCCGCCCCCCGGCCGCGCCAGTCAGCGCCCGCCCCGTCCACCGGCCCGGGACGCGTGACCACGCAGGTATCGCGAGACCACGCCAGGCGGCGGAAGTGGGCGGGGCGACGGGCCTGCGGTTTAGAGAGGAGGGGGCAGAAGGAGGGTCCAGGAGGAGGGGCGCAGGCGGCACGGGGCTGGGCGAAGGGTTTGGAGTTCAGGTTCTGGTCCTTCTGCCGCCTGTGCTGCCCCAAGCTGTAGGAACTGTTGACTAACAAAAGGCACAATGTGAGAATTTCAAGTTAAGTTTTATTTGGGGCGAAATGAGGACTGCAGCTGGGGAGACTGTCCCTCAGATAGCTCTGAGGAATTGTTCAGAGGCGGTGCTGCTGCTGCTGAGTCGCTTCAGACGTGCCCCACTCTTCGCGACCCCGTGGGCTGCAGCCCACCAGGCTCCTCCGCCCATGGGTTTTCCAGGCAAGAGCACTGGAGTGGGCTGCCATTGCCTTCTCCGAAAGAGGCAGTGGGGGAAGGTCGATATATGATTTTGGTGCACGGGGAGGTCACTGCAATCAAGTGCTTACTTTACGAAAGGTTTCCTGTTAGTCATGAGGAGCCAGGGTGAAGGGTGAATGTCAGGGTGAAGGGATTTAGTGCTTTTCTAGATACCAAGAGACGGAAGGACTGGGGTCATGAAGTAAGTTTCTGAAAACATCTGTCTAAAGAGCTCTTACACCAGTTGCCCTGGAGCACAGAGTGCCTCACTCTCCACCCTGCATGAAGACCGGCAACTACAGTGGCACACGTTGGATCCCTGCAGACGCAGGTGGCAAACGCCCTTGTTGTTCAGTCGCTGGCAAATGCTCTTGGCAAGTGCCCATTGGCAGTTGACAGAAGTAGCACAGAAGCTCTGAGACCAGACGCTCTGGGGCTAGCTGAGCCGTGGGGGTGGAAGCTTGCATGGCCTGCTCACCACCGGTCCCCAAGCCTGGGGCCTGATGATGCACAGCTGGCTGGGACACCCGAGCGCCAAGAGGGACCTCCAGGAGCTCGCTGGAGTGCACCAGTCCACCGGTCCACGGTGCTGCCCTGCAGGGCTCTTGGTGGAGCTGTCTGCCGGCCCACACTACCTCGGTCTTCTCTACTCTAGGCGCAGCCGTGCCCTTGACCTTTGGCCCTTCCTGCTGTGTCTCAGGCTGCGGGACAGGCAGGGTGTACCCACTCTTGAGTGACTCGGCCTCGAGCCACAGCTGGGTCCTGGACTCTGAGCTGGAGGCAGTGGCTTTCTAGCCAAACCTGCCTGTGGACTCCCTGGAGCTGGGCGGCCCTACCTGTGACCTGAAGTCAGCACTCAGGGCCATGTTGAGGTGTAACCAGAGCAGAAAGCCAAACTCCCTGACAGTGGGTGTTTGCAGCACGCCAAGCAAAGGGATGAGAGACAATCTCAGATCCACTCAGACCAACTCTGATAAGCCTCTGACCAACTTGGTCTTTGAGTTAGGGGATTTTTAAAAAAAAATTTTTTTTTTTAAAAAAAGAAAGGTTGAGATTCATTTTGTGACATTTCTGAATCTAGTTTCAGGAGTCAGGATGTCTCCGATTTACGTTCTCAGGCTTGGTGGTCCGGTTGAGGGGTCTGTGAGCTCATCTTGCCCTGGAGAAATAACCTGAGTTTGTACATTAATGAGGTCTACAGCAGCAACTTTAGTACACTAACTCTTTTATTGACAGCATCCATCTTAGTCATCTGACTCTACCTGGTTACTGTTCAGTTAGCACAGTACTAAGGTCAGAGGGCACAAGAAAGGAAGGTTTGGGGTGGAGAGATTGATCATGAACTCAGAGGATTTGGTTTTAGGGGGACTTGATTTAAATGTCACGGAGAATTCAGAGTTAATACTGTTTTGCAGTGTGGAGAGGAGTTGTGAGGCAGATGTGTTTAGAAGAGGGAAAGATAATTTATTAACAAAATGCTTCCTTTTAGAGGCATTGCGTAACTGAGTTTTCCCCTGCCGAGCACTGTGACAAACGTCTACTCACACTCCATGTTTCTCTCCCTCCCATCTCACGGGCCACAGGTGCTCGTGAAGTGTGTGCGGCATTAGTCGCAGCAGCTACACTGAGTGGCTGAGGGAAGCTTTGCGACAGTTGTGAACAATTCATGTCAATCTGAAGTTTATGTATTTATAGGTCTAGATATAACATGAGTGAAGCATAATACAGACTCTTTACATTGCTAACTAGATACCTATTGAACATTAGATGTGAGTAGTTTATTTTTGTAAAATAAGATGTAATTGGTGGTGCTAGTAGTAAAGAATCTGCCTGCCAATGCTGGAGACATAAGAAATGTGAGTTTGATCCCTGGATCAGGAAGCTCCCCTAGAGGAGGGTATGGCAACCTACTCCAGTATTCTTGCCTGGAGAATTCCATGGACAGAGGAGCCTGGCAGGCTGCCTTCCATGGGGTCACAAAGAGTCGGACATGACTGAAGAAACTTAGCACAAACACAGGCAAATTTTAACAATGAAATAATTTCTTTACTTTGATTTATAAATTTCAAATGTTTGGACACCTATTATTAGCCTCCATTTGTATTCTTGCCCAAATTCTGCAAATTTGAGGGTGAAGATAAAAAGATAACCTACATGGGACTACCTGGTGGTCCAGTGTTAGGACTCAGACCTTTCACTGCTGGGGCTTGGGTTTCATTCCTGGTCTATGACCAGGAGAACTATGACCCTGCAAGTTGCACAGGGCAGCCAAAAAGGAAAGAAAAAAAAAATCACCTACAAATGAAAAGCAAAATGGATGTTTTCAAGCAAATAATAAAATCCAAATTAGAATTTAATACTCAGCAAAACTTTATTTCCAGGCTAAGGATAGAATAAAGGCATTTTCCTACAAAGAGATAACAAGAGACTTTACCACAGCAGGCTCTGTCCTAGTGTGGGCTACGGTGCTGTGACAGGCACCCAAACGGAAATGGCTCCAACATGAAAGAACTTTTTTCTAACACTCCAGGGCTAGTATTGAAAGTAGGTGGCTGCTATCCTTCATGAAATAATTTATGGACAAAAGCACAAATGACAAAAGAAAACATACACACACACACACACACACACACACACACACATATATATATAAATTAGACTTCACCGAAATTAAAAACTTACATGTTTCAGAGGCAAACATAAAAAAAGTGAAAAGCCATCTCACAGAATGAGAAAAAGTCTCACAAGTCATATATCTGAGAAGGGTCTTGTGTCTAGAAGATATAAAGAATACTTTCAACTTGCTATCCCAAAAAACAGTCGTTTTACCATTTTCGTCTATTTTATGAGACTCATGGACACGGACATAGTTTGAGTAAACTTCGGGAGTTGGCGATGGACAGGGAGGCCTGGTGTGCTGCAGTCCATGGGGTTGCAAAGAGTTGGACATGACTGAGTGTCTGAACTGAACTGAACTTAACATTTTCCCCTATTTTACAGAGAAAAAGAGGAAGCTGGGAGGAGTTCTGAAAAAAAGTCAATTGGAGGCAAATTAGAGTTCAGGGTGGTGACAGGTTCTCATTGGCCTAGTAGCTAGGGTCCTCACCTTCCTGGAAAAGATGCAATGAATGTCTTTCCGGTTGGGACCTGTCATGGAGGATTCTTTCCTGTTGGTGATCCTTCTCTCTGGGTCTGTAATTGACAATGGTTCTTGTAATTGACAGTCAAGTGTCTGAGAGCTCCCTCTTCTGGCCTTCCAGCTCCATTTTAAATGGTTTCCCTTTATTGATGTTCACAAACTCAGTGATACAAAGACAGTTAACAAAGAGCAGAGGATTGAACAGACATTTCTACAATAAAAATACACAGATGGCCGATGAGCACACAAAAAATGTTCAACACTACTAGTCACTGGAAGTGAAAGTCGTTCAGTCGTGTCTGACTCTTTGCGACCCGATGGACTGTATAGTCCATGGAATTCTCCAGGCCAGAATACTGGAGTGGGTAGCCTTTCCCTTCTCCAGGGGATCTTCCCAACCCAGGGATCAAACCCAGGTCTCCCGCAGTGCAGGCGGATTCTTTACCAGCTGAGCCACAAGGGAAGCCCAAGAATCCTGGAGTGGGGAGGCCATCATTAGGGAAAAACGAAATCAGTGGCATCATGAGATGTCTGTTAGGATGCTGTTCAGTTGCTAAGTTGTGTCCTACTCTTGTGACCTCGTGAATGCCAGGCTTCCTGTCTTTATTTTTTCGTTTTTTCTTTTTTCCATTTATTTTTATTAGTTGGAGGCTTCCCTGTCTTTCACTGTCTCCTGGAGTTTGCTTAAGTTCATGTCCACTGAGTTGGCGATGCTATCTAATCATCTCACCCTCTGCTGCCCTCTTCCCCTTTGGCCTTCGGTCCTTCTCAGCATCAGTGTCTTTTCCAGTGTTGTAGCTTTCTGCATCAGGTGGCCAGAGTATTAGAGCTTCAGCTTCACCATCAGTTCTTCCAATGGAGATTTTCAGGTTTGATTTCCTTTAGGATTGACTAGTTTCATCTCCTTACTGTCCAAGGGACTCTCAAGAGCCTTCTCCAGCACTACAGTTCAAAAGCATCAGTTCTTCTGCACTCAGCCTTTTTTTTATAGTCCAACTCTCAATCCATACATGAATACTGAAAAACCATAGGTTTGACTATACACACCTTTGTCAGCAAAGTGATACCTCTGTTCTTGAATACACTGTCTAGGTTTGTCATAACTTTCCTTCCAAGAACTAAGCATCCTTTAATTTCCTGGCTGCATTCACTGTCCACAGTAATTTTGGAGCCCAAGAAAATGAAATGTCACTGCTTCCATTTTCCCCCTCTCTATTTGCCATGAAGTGAGGGGACTGGATGCCATGATCTTTATTTTTTGAATGTTGAGTTTTAAGCCAGCGTTTTCACTCTCCTCTTTTACCTTCATCAAGAGGCTCTTCAGTTCCTCTTTGCTTTCTGCCATAAGTGTGGTGTCATCTGCATATCTGATGTTATTTCTCCTGGCAATCCTGATTCTAGCCTGTGATTCATCCAGCCTGGCATTTTACATGATTTACTCTGCATATAAGTTAAATAATCAGGGTGACAATATAGCCTTATCTTACTCCTTTCCCAATTTTGAACCAGTCCGTTGTTCCATGTCCGGTTCTAACTGTTTCTTCTTGAGCCACATACAGTTTTCTCAGGAAACAGGTAAAGTGGTCTGGTACTCCATCTCTTGAAGAATTTCCCACAGTTTGTTGTGATCCACACAGTCAAAGGCTTTAGCATAGCTAACGAAGCAGATGTTTTCCTGGAATTCCCTTGCTTATCGAATGATCCAATGAGTGTTAGTAATTTGATCTCTGGTTCCTCTGACTCTTCAAAACCCAGCTGGTACATCTGGAAGTTCTCGGTTCACATATTGCTGAAGCTTAACTTGGGAGAATTTTGAGCATTACCTTACTAGTGTGTGAGATGAATGCAATTGTGTGGTAGTTTGAGCATTCTTTGGCATTGCCTTTCTTTGGGATTGGAATGAAACTGACCTTTTCCAGTCCTGTGGCCACTACTGAATTTTTCAAATTTGCTGACCTATTCAGTGCAGCACTTGAACAGCATCATCTTTTAGGAATTTAAATAGCTCAGCTGGAATTCCATTACCTCCACTAGCTTTGTTCACAGTAATGCTTCCTAAGGCCCACTTGACTTCACACTCTAGTCTGTCTGGCTCTAGGTGAGTAACCACACCATCATAGTTATCTGGGAAATTAAGACTTAAAAAAAAAAAAGTTCTTCTTAATCTCTTCTGCTTCCATTAGGTCCTTACTGTTTCTGTCCTTTATCTTGCCCATACTTGCATGAAATGTTTCCTTTGATCTCTCCAATTTTCTTGAAGAGACCTATAGTCTTTCCCATTCTTGCTTTCCTCTGACTTGTTTTCATTGTCCTTTTAAGAAGACCTTCTTATCTCTTTGCTATTCTCTGGAACTCTGCATTCAGTTGGGTATATCTTCCCCTTTCTCCCTTGCTTTTTGCTTCTTTCCTCAGCTATTTTTAAGACCTCCTCAGACAACCACTTTGCCTTCTTGCATTTCTTCTTTGAGATGGTTTTGGTCACTGCCTCCTGTACAGTGTTATGAACGTCTGTCCATAGTTCTTCAGGCACTCTGTCTTCCAGATCTAGTCCCTTGAATCTATTCATTACCTCCACTGTATAATCATAAGGGATTTGATTTAGGTCACACCTGAATGGCTTAGCAGTTTTCCCTACTTTCTTCAACTTAAGCCTGAATTTTGCAATAAGGAGCTCCTGATCTGAGCCAGTCAGCTCCAGATCTTGCTTTTCCTGACTGTATAGAGCTG